CGTGTTTGTGGAAATGTTCATTTGCATATTGTACTAAACCACCAATACCTCCAAACATTTTTTTGTTGATGTAGATTTGTCACATGCACAAAAAAAGCAATAAGTCACAATAACATTTTCACGTTTGTTTTAGTTCGTGCTGCCGACTATTTTGTTTAGTGGCATTGTTCATCCTAAGAACGTGTAATGTCGTAGTTTCGACTTTTAAGTTTACATGGGCAAGATGTTAATAGTTTAAACCACCAATATGTTTCCCAACCATTTTGCTAAGACACAGTTGTATATGAGCAACAAAATTAATTTAAGGGGTCGACAACTGCAATAAAATGGCTGTCTCTTCCAGACAAAACGAGACCGCTCAGATTCTTTTCTTTTTGCCGTGCAGGGCATTTCAAGGCTCTAAGTCAAGAAGGGAATGGTCCATAGTGCTAATGGTTTTTGACACCTCTTTCGAAGGCGAATGAAGTTATATCAAATGATAATTTGACTAATGCAATCTCTAGTTTGTCTTCAAAAAAAAAAAGAAAAAAGAAAAAAAAAAAAAGAAAAAAAAGAAAGAGAGAGAGAGAGAAAAAGAGAGAGAGAGAGAGAGAGAGAGAGAGAGAGAGAGAGAGAGAGAGAGAGAGAGAGAGAGAGAGAGAGAGAGCAATGAAGCCCGGTGTGAGTGATAACTGTGATGGAAAAAGCAAGCAGTCGTCCAAGTCAATGGGACGCAAGCCCAAGTGATTTGGTGACATAGCATGTAAGGGCCTAAGCTTTGTTCCCTTCCACCCTAAGCGATTTGATGAAATGGAGAGTGAGAGGATAAGCTTCAACCCTTTTGACCCCTTGTTTTGTTTTTGAAGGACAAATCCAAAGAAGCACTGACCTGTCGCAGGCCAACCTCAACTCATCCAGACCCCGCTTCCGACTCGTAGCCCACATCGAAAAGAAGGCTGGACTCGGACAGAGGCAGCACAGCTCTGAAAAGGTAGCATTAGGGTTGCGAACACACGACAATGAAATATTGGCAACTCCACCCTCGATCTGCTGGGCATCATTGTCCCGCTATCTGTCTCAGCTTCACTGATCTCCACGTTATTATTGATTATCTAAAGGGAAAGGGAGGTGCAGCTCTTGGCAACAATGTTTGGTCTTTCAAAAAAAACAAAAAAGAATGCTTGGTCTTTGTGTTAGCCAGGCCCCCACAGGCAGGCCCACCCCACTCCCTCACCAACACGGTAAGGGTAGGCCGCAACATGCAATCCCTTTATTGCAAGGTAGCTATGCTTGCTACATCCATGAAAATGTTGAAAAAGCAGATGAGAAAAATATGACAAGTCAGAATTATATACGGCCTTACAGCTCTATGATGATATTTCAAGGCCGTCGCCCATTTCGAAGAAGGGATAATTTGCAGAATAGCCCCATAATTTGAGATCTATGCCAAAATGCGCCAGAAAGATGTGAATAGGGCGGAATGCCCCTCTGACAAAAGAAAATCTTTTGTGGAATACCCTGGTGTCGTGGGCTGGACCCCCCATCGTTGCAATATACCCCTACCGGCACCCTTCAACTTTGCAAAATGCCCCTGCACTTGCCAACTTTTCCAAGGCCCGATTGCGAAATGCCCAGTCCCAAACGGGGAGGTTCAAATTGCAAATTTGCGCACGGGCCTAACAGGGGCATAACAGAAAGAATTCACCCCAAAAGGGCATTCCCCTCTACCCACATCTTTCAGGGGCATTTTGGCATATATCACAACTTATGGGGGTATTTTGCAGATTATCCCTTCAAAGAAAGAGTGAGAAAGAAGGGAGAAAAGAAAAGAAATAAAGCTGAATGTGAGAGATTTATGAGAGAGAGTCATAGGTAGAGAGAGGATAAAACGGGTATGGAATAGGATAAGACTTGCTTACTATTTGAAACACGAATGTGAAGACAGATGAACTCATAAGCGAAACTGGCTAATGCTGCCAGAGTGACACCGGGTTGAATTGTGGGACCCCGGCCCGAATCCAGAATTTTTGCAATGAATTGGTACATTCCAAAAAAAAAAAAAAAAAAAGATTTACGAGGGTAAAAAGGGGGGGAAAAAATTATTTCTTGATCGGCACGGCGTGGGCACATTCGGATGACTGGTGACTTGACCAAACCTAACGTTCCCATGTTGGATGTGAACGGTGACGCCACTGACATGTAGGATGTTAACGGTGACGACGCTGACACTTAGGATGCTGAAGTTGGCGTCACTGACACCTGGGATGCTGACGTTGGCGCTACTGACAAGTGGGATGCAGACGTTGGCGTTGCTGACAATTGTGATGCTGACATTGGCCCCTGCTGACACGTAGGAGGTTGACGTTGGCGTCGCTGACACATGTGATGCTGACATTGGCCCCTGCTGAAACATAGGATGCTGATGTTGGCCCCCGCTGACACGTAGGATGCTAACGTTGGTGCCACTGACAAGTAGATGCTGACATTGGCGTCGCTGACACGTGTGATGCTTACACAGACACATATGATGCCACATGGACAGAACTGACGGGCTCACAGCTCCCGTGGGTTGTCCGGCTGCTGCTTTTGGGAACGCAAGGGGACATGCCATCTGACTGGCCTGGTTACAAAAGGAACCTGTTCCGCATCACCAGACTGGAACTGCTCATGGTAGCACGGAGGGTGCGTTGCTCCTTCGGAAGGCATCAGCACTCCTTCGGAGTACAGCAGGCAAAAAATCATATGACTGACGACCTGGCTGCCAGGACGAAGGATGCATGGAGACAAACTGCAGCAGCGGTGCAAAGCCATCGAGGATGACCTCCTTCTCATGCCAACCACAAAACAACAAAGGCTAAAGGAGGCTCGGGAAGGATACGAAGAACAGTGGCTGGGCCCTCGAAAGATCATGCCTGAAATACAGGGGGCACAGATACAGTGGAAGAAATGGAGGACACGAGAAAACAAGTGGACTGACACAAGAAAACAGGTGGACTGTTACACCGCTGTCACACTTCGAGGTAACCCCCCTCTTTGTAACTCCTCCCTCTTTCATCCTATGCTTCGGTTAAGGCCGGGTCCACCGGAAGGTCCCCTCCTGTCCCCCCACCTAACCACTCTCCCTCCCCCCCTCCCCCCCCTCCCCCTCTGCCCCCTGGCTCTAACTCCCCAACCCCAATCTCTATACCCAAGGTTTCTGCACCCCCGTTCTTCGACCTCAGCAACGGGATGGCAGCGATGCAATGCCGGCTCGAGGATCGACCAACACCGGATTCAGCAGGGTCGGGATAGAGGTTGTGCTCGTGGGATAAGAGAGGTGGGATGGACAGGATAAGTGAGCACGCACTCCTTACCAGGGAATGGACCTGGAAAGGTGGAAGGTGCGGCATACAAAGCAATACTCTGCAGAAAAGCATAAACAGAGGGTCAAATAGGGGTTCCTGCAGGGGAGGGGGGAGGAAGATAGAATAACGGTCTCGAGAGTTCCTTCCCCGGGACAGCAGGGATAGTAGATTCGAAAGCGACTCATTGGGGCATGGAATACGAAGGCTAAGGCACACAAGGGGGGCCCGAAAACTGTCTGCTCCCCCGAAGGAAGCTGTCACGACCAATGAGATGGGCGACACCAACCTGGAATTGGAATGGACTGAAGGAAGAATGGGGCTTTTGGATTAGATGGGATGGGCTGCAGGAACCTGGAATTGGGGATTGGACTGAAGGAAGAATGGAGATACTGGATTAGAAAGGAAAGACTTGGATTTCCAGGGAGGGGGGAAGTGGGAGCTCTGCTATAGGAAGGGTAATATTTGTTTGTTTGTTTGTTTGTTTGTTTTTTTTTTTTTTTTTTTTTTTTTTTTTTTTTTTTTTTTTTTTAAGTCCATGGTGTTGTAGAGGCCAGTCACTGAGTACGCAGTGATCACCTGGAGTAGTAGGCCGCGGCTGTCCTGGAATATGGGACCACCTCCCATCCCATCCTTACGGTAATGCTCCTAGCGCACCCCCTATCCCACTATCCTACCTCAGTGTGACCAGCACTCAGGACCATTACCCTACCAATATTTGTAGCCCTTAGGGAAAGATGAGAGCTTCAGGACACAGAGTAAAGACCACAGCCTTAGGAACGGAAGGAACTGAACAGCCCATATTGCAAAGACGTATTCAAGGGAGCTGTACCCGGATTCCAGCAAGCGTTGCTCCCCACCAATAGATGGAGCAGCCTGCAGGCCAAGCACTCCATTCCGGGGGCCAAGTCCCATGCACGCCAACTCTTCATTTCTGAACGTTGATCTTTCGAATCTACGGTCAGAAACTGAGGATTCGGTTAAGTGGGACTTGGGCCCGGCGGTTCTCTCACCACCGCTGGGATAGCGGGCTTGCAAAATGGCTTTCAGCGAAAACAAAAAAAAAACAAAAATGATGCTGACATTGGCCCCTGCTGACACGTAGGATGCTGACGTTGGTGCCACTGACGCGCGTAGGATGCTGACCTTGGCGCAGCTGAACTGTTCAAAGCTGACGAGCATGCCACTGGCCTGCCTGTGCGGATAATAGGGATGCCGACGTGGCTGCCGACGTGGCGCCACTGACTGAGCCTTAACAAAAGAAAATTAACTCTGAATTTACCTGCAGTTAAAAGTTCTTTTTTTTTTTTTTTTTTTTTTTTGCGGTCGCCCTTTGTGCGGATAATAGGGATGCCTTCGAAAAAAATAATATAAAAAAAATAGGGATGCCGACGTGGCTGCTGACGTGACGCCACTGACTGAGCCTTAACAAAATAAAAATAACTCTGAATTCACCTGCAGTTCAAAGGTTTTTTGTTTTTTTTTTGTTTTTTTGTTTGCCGTCGCCCTTTTATTATAGAGGAGGAAGAAGGAAAAAAAAACGGGGGAATAGAAGTTATAAAACACTCCGTCATTTCCCCTGCAGCTACAATGACGGGGCGGTGTATTCGGGTGAAGACGGTTGTACAACGGAGAGATGGGTAATGCTGACGTGTACCCCTCAAGCTTCTGCTTCGATGCCCAGGTTTGGCTTGTTGATTGATAGCTGAGGTCCCGACACACAGGATGCCCAGCGCAGGAAGAGTATCAGACAGTCATAATCAATTGCAGCAAAACGGGATCTCGGCGCAGGAGATTCATAAGTAAGACTACAGTGGCTGGACGGATCTGCTAATGACACGTGGCCGAAGCCTGATCTTCTGATGACACGTGGCAGAAGCCTGATCTKCTGATGACACGTGGCAGAAGCCTGATCTGCTGATGACACGTGGCAGAAGCCTGATCTMCTGATGACACGTGGCAGAAGCCTGATCTGCTGATGACACGTGGCAGAAGCTGATCTGCTGATGACACGTGGCAGAAGCCTGATCTGCTGATGACACGTGGCAGAACAGAAGCCTACACAGAGCACTGAGCTGCTAATTTCACTTACTGTAGTTCTACTTTGTTCTGTTGTTGTGAGAGAATGTTGACTGTCATATGACAAGGCAATGACCAACATCACTCCATGTCAAAGCAAAGACTCTCTAGCTTGGTATTTCATACTCTGTAGCTTCCCAGGACGATTCATACGCTCTAGATTCTCTATTCTTTCTACCTCCCCCAGAAGCTCCCACTCTGCTGTGCAACAGAAGTACACTGTACAATTACAGGGACGCTGTCTTGTCTCCTTTGCATCTGAGTGCTTGCACTTATGCCATGTATGTCGCTTAATCTGGGACGCTGGACATGCTGTCCAGCAGGTGCTGCTCACCGCCAATGGATGGATGGAGCCTGCCAATGCAGAGAGAGCCCACTTAAAGAAGGATGCTCTTGCCGCCTCCTTAAGTGGGTTGATGACCTCAAGTTTCAACTACAAAAAAAAAAAAAAAAAAAAGCTCATACATCGACACGGCCATCCATACAGAGAAACTCGGAGCGGAAAATAAACGTCATGGAATCACTCCACTTTTTTTTTTTTTTTTTTTTTTTTCCCGAGAGAGAGAGAGAATCACTCTACTTTCCTTTTTGTCTTTCCCGCCCCCCCCCCTTTTTTCAGTTTTCTTACGTGACAGCCCTTCCCCAGCAACGAAGGATTGCCGGCGGGCCAGCAGAGAGCCATCGGGATAGGCGAACATACTGTAAGAGTCCTGCGGCGCGCAATACGCACCAACTCAGCAAGTCGACTAGCATACACACGACGGAGTTGTGGTGGGTGGGTGCTGACGTGGCAGCGAAGGATTGCCAGCAGCCAGAGGTATCAGGGGAAAGGATACAGTACATGGGACGTTCCGTGCCCGTAGTCCTCCCTTGAAAAACAGTCTTCCTCACGAACACAACGCACGCTGATTATGAATGTCTACAAGCTCTCTCTCTGTCCGGTACGGTCGTGGTGAGCGTGCGTTGTGTTCGGGGGAAGACGGTTGGCTTACCCTTTTCATGCATTAAAGGTAGTCCGTTACCGTTACCGTTACCATTACCGTTACCGTTATGCAGAGCCATCAGGGAAAGGATCGAGCACCGAGGCTGGAGGATTTTTTTTTTTAACCTTTCAAACTACACTATATTCTTCTCTCAAATTCTTTCATCTTTGACAACCTACCTACCACTACTCCTAAGGCTATACAGGGGACCCCTACCACTATTCCTAAGGCTATACAGTGGCCCCCTGTAACCTTCCTTCACCAAGAGAGGTAGATAGCTGGAGGGTCTTCTTTAGTGAAGTGATACCTTTTTTTATGAGTAACAGGTAGTCCGTCACCGTTAGCATAACCGTTACGCTCACCCTTACCATGACCGTTACCGTTACCGTTAGTCGGATCCATCAGGGAAAGGATCGAGCGCGTTCGACTTTCCGTGTACGTAGTAGTCTAAAATGGCACGCATGCGCTGAAGCTTATTGGGGTGAAAATTGACGTGGATGATGACGGGCTTGACCAGCTTCATCTGCGCGAGATCCTTTCGGAGAATCTTGAACAATAGCTTGCTGTTCATGAACAACAGGTAGTCCATCACCCTTCTCGACGCCTGCAATCCCTGCTTTACGGGTGTGCTGGGGAAGCACAGCTCCTCGTTGAATACCACCTGCTCCCATGCCGACTCACGCTCTAATCTCACCATGACGCGGTCCACGAGTTCTATCGAAGGAATGGTTGGCCGGATGTAGAAGAATCCCACGTTGAGCATCCAGATTCGCAGAGTGAAAGCGTATCTTGCCCATCCCATTGCGGGATCATCCGACACGTCATTGTACCCGTAAGCCGTGGCGTTGTCTGTACCATCAGTCATTGCTTCCACGTCGCAATCCCGTCGCAAGTGATCGAAAGGGTTCTCTAGAAAGACTACGTCGACGTCCGAGAACAGAACTGCATAACCCAATGCAAGAAACTCCCTCAGCAACTCGAATTTGAACACAGTTTTGGCGTGATTCGATCCCAGGCCTTGCTGAGCTGCTGGCACCCTAGCATCTCTTCGATAGAACGGCACCCCTACTTCGCTACAGTAAGCAGCGATCATGTCGTCTAGGGCCACTACCAAGAGGTTTGTCACTTGAAGCCTTCCCACACTGGCCATCCACACCTCTAACATAGGCAGCTGGTTTTCCTCTGACAGGACAACAATAACTTCCCTGTCAGTTGCTACGTTCACCAGGATGCCATTCAACTCATCGTTGACCGTTGGATCGGGTTCGATCTCCGGATTAACTCGTTGACTTTTCACGCTTCCTGGTGGCCCCACTCTGGCTCTGTTCTCAGCACCTGCAGTGCAGTTGCAAAGGGTTTCTGGTGGTGGTCCCACTCTCACAGGTTCGCTGACGCCTCTGCTCACCTCTTCCCCTCCGACGTAACCTTTGTCGAACGCCATCGTAGGCAGCCCCCCTTTCAACAAGAAGCACGCAACAAGCCCAACGACCACAGCGATACCCACGGCAATGCTGAGTTTCTTGTCGTTCAAACCACCACCAATTCCTCCTCCTACTCCTCCTCCTCCTCCTACTCCTCCTCCTCCTCCTGCTCCTCCTCCCCCTCCACTCCCTCCGACTCCTCGCACATTGTCTTTTCCTGACACCATCGTCAGCTAGCCGTTTGCTTCTTTGTGATCATCTGATGCAATCAACATTCGAGCTCGAGATCTCTTTCTACTGACCAGTCGGCACCTTCTCCTCTCCTCCTACTCCTTCCTCCCCCCCCACTCCTCCCTTTCTAACAAGGAACTCCCCCTTCCCCTCTTGCTTCTATCACCCCCTTCCTTGAACGAAGACAACCCGTCTGCCGGCTCGAGCGGCACGGACTGCCTCTTAACGATTTCAGCAAAAGAAGCAACAACGAAAACAAATGTTTTCAGAAATATCTAGAGCGAAGACAACCCCTCTGCCGGCTCGAACGGCTGCTTCCAGTGCGATGGGCACACAGGGCACCCACCGCCTCTTAACGATTTCAGGAAGAAGCAGCACCAACCAAAACAAATGTTTCCACAGCTTTTCAGAAAGTTAGATAGCCCTCCCAGAAACCACCCCAGGAACTACTGCACGAACTGGTCCAGGAACGATTCCAGGAACGATTCCAGGAACAATTCCAGGTAATGACCCATCACCTGATTGCGAGGCGGAGCTCGCCACAATGCAACGACGACTATCGCCTATGACATTCAAACTGCTATGGGTGGCTCTCTTGACTCCGCTTCTCACTGGATCTCTATTCCGTGGAGCGAGCTGCGAGAGGATCTGCTGCATTTATTTTATTTTATTTTTTTTAGCTGCAGAGAATAGCGGAGTGTTAGGTTGTTTCAAACGGTGCTTGTGTCCCAACAAGGAGGTTGTCCGGATAGGTGCCAGACGACGCTCAACAACGTAGTATCGTAACTCACCCCAGGGCCTGCGATGAGTTAAGACAGCCTATTGTCGCCCTACATTACTCCCTTTACCTTCGGAATTGGCTGCGGTTGAGCCAAGTAAGCTAACTCGGTCCCCACAAATGCACTCCCAAGTCTTCTTCTTTAAATGCACTCCCAAGTCTTCTCCTTTGCTGCGCCCTACTGTATATGTCGCCCTCCTCCTCCTCCTCTCCTCCTGCTGGTACAGCTCCTGTCGCCTTCGGCTTACGTATCTGGAGTCTTGGTTCCTCAGCTGCCTGTCGGAAAGCATCACAGCCCGCACGTGCGACGTCACATTCTCTCTCTCTCTCTCTCTCTCTCTCTCTCTCTCTCTCTCTCTCTCTCTCTCTCTCTCTCTCTCTCTCTCTCTCTCT